AGTAATCAGTTATTTATTTCATAGCAAATGTCCAGCGTGCAGTAAACTGCAATCTTTTGAAGTTGAGTGACATTTCTATTGCAATTAGTGAATTCGAGATAGTAACATACTTCGCCGTAATAAGCGTATTTCAAATTAATTGTTGTGTTGTTTTTTAGTGTTAGCCTAAAGCGTTGTGGGTCAATGGTTCTTATTAAAATCATATCCCAATCTGATTCGATTTAAATATAATTTAAAAAAAAAATACTTTTCATCAAATTCCGCCACACCTTTCATATTATATTGAAATTGGTGCGTCAAATATATGAAATCGGCCGAGAATATATATATGGGAGCTATATTCAAATCTTAACTAATTTCCAGTTAATTTGTCACAATTATTTTTCTAACCAAATTCCGCCACACATTCTGAATTTCATTGGTATCGGTCATATACATCATGTTTTGTGGATAACATGTAAGAAATCGACCGAAATATATATTTTAGCTATACCCAAACCTCAACTGATTTCAATATAATTTGGCAATTTTTTCTGGTGCCAGATTTCGTCTCTCTCGCTTTGGGTGCATCAAATATGTGAAATCGGCTGAGTATATATATGGGAGCTATAATCAAATCAGAGCGTATTTCAATATAATTTGTCAAATTTATTTTTGTACCAAATTTAGCCACTCATGCCGAATTTCATTGGAATCGGAAATACGTATCGTGTTTTGTGCATCAAATATGTGAAATCGGCGGAAAATATATATGGGAGCTCTATCCAAATCTGAACCGATTTTAATATAATTTGACTAATTTATTTTCTAATAAAACTCCCGTTACATATTCCAAATTTCTTTGGAATCGAACATACATATCGTGTATGGTGCCTAAAATACATGAAATCGGTCGAAAATATATATGAGAACTATATCCAAATCTGAATCGATTTAAATATAATTTGACAATTGTATATTTGTTTTAATTTCCGCTACACATTCCACATTTCATTGAAATTAGAGATACATAGCGTGTTTGGTGCATCAAATACATGAAATCGGTCGAAAATATATATGGGGGCTATATCCAAATCTGAACCGATTTCAATTTAATTTGACAAATTCATTTTGGTTCCCAATTCCGTTACTTATTTTAAATTTCATTACAATTGGAAATACATATAGTGTTTGGTCCACCAAATACATGAAATCGGCCGAAAATGTATATGGGAGCTATATCCAAATCTGAACCGATTTCAATATAATTTGGAAAATCCATTTTTTAAATAAAGTCTATCACACGTTTCAAATTTCATGGAAATTGGGGATACATAGCGTGTTTGGTGCATCAAATGCTTGAAATCGGCCGAAAATATATATGGGAGCTATATCCAAATCTGAATCGATTTAAATATAATTTGACAAATGTATATTTGTTTTAATTTCCGCTACACATTCCAAATTTCATTGAAATTAGAAATACATAGCGTGTTTGGTGCATCAAATACATGAAATCGGTCGAAAATATATATGGGAGCTATATCCAAATCTGAACCGATTTCCATTTAATTTGACAAATTCATTTTGGTTCCCAATTCCGTTACTTATTTTAAATTTCATTACAATTGGAAATACATATAGTGTTTGGTCCACCAAATACATGAAATCGGCCGAAAATGTATATGGGAGCTATATCCAAATCTGAACCGATTTCAATATAATTTGGAAAATCCATTTTTTAAATAAAGTCTATCACACGTTTCAAATTTCATGGAAATTGGGGATACATAGCGTGTTTGGTGCATCAAATGCTTGAAATCGGCCGAAAATATATATGGGAGCTATATCCAAATCTGAACCGATTTCAATATAATTTGACAAATTTATTTTCGGATTAAATTCCGTCACACATTCCAAATTTCATTTGAATCGAACATTCATATTGTGTTTGAGGCATCAAATGAACGAAATCGGTCGAAAATATATATGGGAGCTATATCCAAATCTGAACCGATTACAATATAGTTTGGCAAACTTATTTTTGTTCCAAATTCCGTTACGTATTCCAAATTTGGAGACTGTATCTTCAACCAATCAATAGATATGTGCATATAAAATCTAAAGTTTTGGGAGGTACCTCCGATTCTGATGCTATATCTCCAGTTCCAAGTGGAAATTCAAAAATGTATATAGCCTATGTTACTTTCAGGCGATGTTGCAGTATATATGGAAATTTTCAGGAAAATCTATTCAGCGGTTTTCGAGTCCATAAATTACAAACAAACAAACAAACAAACAAACAAACATACAAACATTTTCCTCTTTTATAGATATAGATTTTATGCGGAATCATAAATTCCATATTCTTCTCAGGTTTCTGGATGAGAGAAATATATAGATGTAGCAAGTTGTAAAGAATCGCTGACTTGTTTTGCAAGCTATGGCGGAAAAAAAAACTATTGAAAATTGTGTCCCTTTATTGGTGAGGTACCAGAAAGGGTTCGCAGATATATATCATCCCCCACAACAGATCTTGTGTTTGCCGAAATTTATGTATTTGTGAAATCGGAAGTGAGTTGGATGCTTATTTCGCTTTCTTCGAGCGTTTTGTTTTCCAAAATCTTGAACCCTATGTGGGGCAGACAGAAATGGCAAAAGAAATGGTCCGATCGCTACTATCTGTATAGCTGATCTTTTATTGATGCAAATATTGAGATGTACTAAATCTGAATGGAATTGGGTTTTAATTTCGCGTTTTATGAGCTTCGTGAATATTCAAAATTTTGACCCAAAAAGGGTGGACCTGTATATTCCATCGTCACAGCAGATCTTGTGTTAGTAGAAATATTGGGATGTGTGAAATATGAAAAGAACCGGATGCTTATTTCGGATTCTATGATCGTTTTGGGTTTTATAAAATGTGACCCTTTGTGGGGGATGTACCAGAAGGAATGGTCCGACCTCTACCATCTTTATAACAGATCATGTGTGATGGAACTATTGAGATGCGCCAAGTCTGAAATGGAATCGAATGTTAATTTCGCTTTCTATGAGCTTCATGGATATTCAAAATGTTGACCCTTTGTGGTGGAGGTACCAGAACGAGTGGACCGATATATCCCATCTTCACAATGTCAGATGTGCCAAGTTTAAATGAAATCGGATGTTAATTTCGAGCTTTAAGAGCTTAGTGGTTATACAAAATTTTGACCTTTTGTGGGGTTGGTACCAGAAGGTGTATAACGATGTATTACATCTTAACACCAGACCTTGGGTTATTAAAATTATTGGGATGAGTAACATTTGAAGACAATCGGACTCATACATCGCATTTTATAAGAGTTGTAATTGTTCAAAATTTTGACCCTTTGTGGGTGAGGTACTTGATGGAGAGTACTGTCTATTTTCGCGCCTGACCTAGCACTGACGCAAATATTAGGATTTGCAAAGATGAAGCAAAATCGGATTATCGTTTCTCTTTCTGTGCAGAAAATATATATTTTGAAAATTTCGACCTTTTGTGGGGGAGAAACCAGAATGTGTGGACTGATATATTTCATCCTAACACCAGACCTTGGGTTAATAAAAATATTGAGATGTGTGACATTTTTACGACAATCAGATTCATACATTACTTTTTTTAAGAGTTGTAATAATTCAAAAATTTGACCCTTTGTGGGTGAGGTACTTGATGGAGTGGAGCCCTACAGTCATTTTCGAACCTGACCTAGAACTGACGCAAATATTGGGATTTGCAAAGTTGGAGCAAAATCGGATTATTATTATATTTTTTGAAAATGTCAACCTTTTGTGGGGGAGTTACCAGAAGGTGTGCACCGATATATACCATCTTAACACCAGACCTTAGGTTAATAAAAATATTGAGATGTGTGAAATTTTTAGGACAATCGGACTCATACATCTAATTTTATAAGAGTTGTAATTATTACAAATGTTGACCCTTTGTGGGTGAGGTACTTGATGGAGTGGAGCGATACTGTCCATTTTCGCACCTGACCTAGAACTGATGGAAATATTAGGATTCACAAAGTTGGAGCAAAATCGGATTATCGTTTCTCTTTCTGTGCAGAAAATATAATTTTTGAAAATTTCGACCTTTTGTGGGGTGATAGCAGAAGGAGTGGAACGATATTGTCAATATTACGATGTACCAAGTTTGGACCAAATCGGATATTCCCTTCGAGAGTTATGGTGTGCATCAGCCAGCCAGACAAACAAACGGGCAGACGGACGGACATCGCTAGATCGTCTCCAAATGTCCTGAAACGGATTTGGTCCAAAGAGACCTAGGATCTAAATCCGTTTTTTCGACTAGACACGTTTGGACCGCATCAAATGATATATTTCCTCTATAGGCATATGGCTGAGGGCATAATAAATTCGTCCCGATTCTTATAAGGCATTTTTTTCTCAATTTGTTGATCAAAAATTTGTCATTTCCATAATCTCTGTGGTCATGTGGGTATTGGGCTTTCATATGGTGGTTCTCCGTATTCTTTCGTAGATTAAAAATAAAGTTCAACAAATTCCATAACCTCTATTGCATTGAAAATCCTGCCCCAATACCTTTCAACTAAAATATTTAGTTTATAATCACTTACACTCATTATCTACAAAAATGCTTCTCAAATATTTTGCTAAGACTTTGAGTCAAATATTTCCTAAAATCTCTAAAAACGGTCATCAAATGCTCGCGGTTCCCTGATTTTTCAAACACCAACAAGTTACATGTTTTAAGGCCTTTGTCTTAACCACAAGCGATGCATCCCTGTATTAAATACAGTGTATTTTGTGATAAGAAATCTACTGGCATGAAAAACCTGTTCAACAAGAGAGTGGAAGAGAGCCGGAGAGAGAGAGACCAAATATGCATTTCCTCTCCCATAAAATGCATTGCTCTCTCAATGTAATTGGCTGAGAGAGAGAGAGAGAGAGAGCGGATGTTTGGTGGTGGTTGTTTGTTTGCCCGACTGTCAATTAACAAATGAAGGAAAGCCGTGATAGATGAATGGCTGGCTGGCTGAAGTAAACAAAAATATTTTGTAAATCAGTTTTTGGCGGTACATCGAACGTAACACATCGTAAGGCGCGTTGACACAACGGACGGTTGCCTCAGCAGACGGAAAGGAATACGTTATCGTAATTTCGAATCAAAAAATAAATTGTGAAGAAAAAAAGATTATGACAAAATTTAAAATCAAAATCTGAAAAATTAAGAAAAACAAATGAAAAAAAAAATTGAAAATGCAGTGAAATTTTAAAAGAAACCCAATACAAGTGTTAGGGAACTTATTTGAGTTTTTTTTTTGTTTAAAAAAAATTAAATTTTTATTTTGTGTGAAAAAGAAATAAAACCAATTTCATTCAACCTCTAAGCCAAAAATAGCAGGGAAACAAATTAAAAATAGAAAATGTTTACCACACCAAAAAAGCAAAAACAACAACAACAAAGTATTTCGAAAATGGATGCTAAAGAAAGTAACCCCCATCATTTTGGCCTGGCGCTGACAACAAACACCCTTAATACTTCAACGTCGTCGATTCCTGCCAGCCCCTGTTCATCCACCAACAACTCAACAACAATTTCCATGGAAAATAATTCGCCAAATTCCAAATTGAATGGCTCATCAACGACATATCACTCGGCAGTAACGGATACGACAACGGCGGCCGTTGTGATTAATTCGGCTGGCAGTACGCAAAGCCTTAATCGCCGCTCGGCAGAATTTTTAACAACAATGGCCTCCACAATAGCCAACACCGAGGATATGGCTGTGGAGAACACGGCTCTGTTGGAAACAACCACGACTGCCATGGATGAGCAGCGTCACGCCGAACATGACCCAGATATGGTTACAACCGAAAATCACCATCATCAGCAGCACATGCTGGCTGATGAATTTGAGCAATTCATCTTGAATCGCACCACTTCGGATAGCAACATTTTGGAGTCGAGCATTTACAGCGAACTCCAGTTTCCACCCTCCTTGCATGGCAGCAGTATAATGAGCGGTTTGACTGGCCATGGCATCGGCAGCGGCGGTTATGTGAGCAATAGTGGCGGGCCCATTACTGCCTCATCCCCCGCCCAGGTGGCTGGACCACAAACACCTGCTTCGGCCACCAGTGGCCGGACCACAAAACGTACCAAACGTAAACATAAAACCAAATCGAAGTGTACCGCCACAGCAGCCTCGCTGGCTGCAGCGGCTGCTGCCAGCCAAAGAGCCTCGCCAACGGGTCATTATCCACCGCGTTACACTGCCATTTTCATGGATCCGCATCATCAGTATGGCAATGTTACCACAACGAGTGCAATGGGGGCGTCAACACATCACGGTGGCAACGCTGCCAATGCATTGGGACAAATTGCAAGTGCGGCAGCGTCATCGCCATTCTTGAATGGATCTATGGCAGTGGCCGGTGAGGCGGCCTATATGCAACAGTTTCAATATTTCCAACAGCGGCCAATGGTCACGACCATGGCTCCCATGGCCGGGAGTGGTCACCGCAGGCATCATAGGTAAGTGTGAAAGAGGGCAATTCTGAAACAAAACACCTGATTTTTTTATGGGCCAGTGGAATGCTCTAAATAGTTTAATTCCCTTTGAGGACTTTAGAGGTTGGCCTTCGAGAAATTTACTGAAAATATATTCCGTCAAGAGGATTGTCTTATACCGGAATACGTTCCAAAAGGACTTGGAAAAAGATTTTCTACGTTTAGAAGATCTTCAAAAATTAACTATTGATGGAATACCGGTAAAGTTCTTCTCATGATTGGTCTGAAAGGGTCTTTCACGCAAAGAACACCTTTAAAGAGTCTTTTATAAATTTAACACCACTTCGAAGCTATTTAGAACAGTTCTCAAGTTTCAGATACTTTTCTAAACATCAGCGGTTTTCAAAGACCTTCTGTACATAAAAGATCCGTAAAAGGTATATATTAGGCTTTTAGGTCTTCGAAAAGTCTATCTGTTCTAAGGTCTTCAAGATACCAAAATAAAAGTCTTTTAAAACAGTTCAGTATTAAAAACTTTCAAAAAGTATGACGATTTCGAAAGAAAAAGTTAAAAAAAAAAAAATGGTCTTCAAAAAATTGGCTGCTTCAAACGTCCATTCAAAATTAGAAATCATTTGAATGGTGGTGTCTTCAAAGAGAACCTGCGTTCTCAAAGGGTCTTCTTAAGCAGAACATTTGGAAAAGACCTTAAAATAAAAATTTCGGAACAAAATACCTTCTAACAGATTTCTTGAAAATCGAGAGAGAACCTCTATAATGTCTTCCAGACAACTGAGACTGAGAGGAAAATCATCTAAATGCTGAATATCCTTAAAATTTCTCAAAATGTCATTAAAAATTGAAAAACTTTTAAACGCTAATCTACAGCTAAAAGAGATTCAAAATTCCAGATTCGAAGGTTTGAAAAAGTACTCCAGAGAAAGAAGAACTTTAAAATCTATCCATTTGGAATATATCTTCTGTATTTAGATGGCCTTTCGAAGATATATACCAAAGCGATAGATTTTAAAGGTCTTCTTTTTCTGGAATTCTTCTTGAATTGTTCGGATCTGGAACAAAGCCTTGAGAGACCTTTCCAAAGACTTCAAACAAAACGGACTCTTTCAAAATGTCCTCCAAAGGAAGAATGACTTTAAAATGTGTTCTAAAGGTGTAAAGATGACCTTCTCCTTGAGAGGGAGAGAAAATCATCATTAAACCAAATTCCCATCATACGGGAATTCCTTCAAAAGGTCTTTTAGAAAAGAAGAGTTTCCAGAAAAAAAGGACCTCCTATAGGCCTTAAAAAAGACCCTAAAGTCTTAGCTAAAGAGAGAGAAGACCTTAATAAAGAGGAAATCTTCATGGAGGTAAAATTAAACAAAATACCTTTCAAATGGTTTATTTATGGATAAAAGAGCCTCAAGCGGTCTTCTCTAAATAGAAAAATCTTCCAACCACCTCCAATAAATAGAAGAGCCTTTAAATGTCTTTCTAGAGATATGAGACACACAAAAAATTATCTATGTAATGGTGATCTTCACGAAAAGAGGTCAAGAGGTCCTCTAAAAATACCTTCAAATGGTTTTCTATAAAAAAGTAATGCTTTCACATTATTTTCAATCCAATTTACATCAGAGATCTTCTCTAATTTTTTCCTTACATAAAATTTTATTACTTCTGGCTTTACCCTTAATATTTTTAACCCAAGTATTAAGTAGCACGAGTTAAAATCATTGACATGAATGTTATGAAAAGAAACGCCATATCCTCATCAAAATGCCAGCAGCAATGGCAGTAGCATCATTTCGAAATAGATTTCCGGTCTCTGTTTTTTACTTCTTAATAAAATCTCCCAACAAAACCTGCTCAAATGTTCAAATGACAGTTCCTGCCTCAAATCTTGCTTAATTATTTTTATGATCTACTTGTTAACTACAGTAGTTAATAATGCCTTTTTTCCATGGGTCTCTTTTCCCTCTCTCTTTCTCTCTGAACTAGGTTAAATATAATTTCATAAGAATTTTTGTTTAATTTTTTTGAAAGTAATTTTCTTTCAAAACTAGCAATTTAGTTTTAGTTTCAAAATAATAATAATCGTTAAGTCCCTCTCTCTCTCTCGCAATCTTTGTCCCCTGTCTTTCATTTTAAAACCCCCAAACAACAGCGACCACCACCTTAAGTACTGGGTAATTACATTTAAAGAGGTTAAATCTAAATTGCTTGATTGGCCTGCTGAGATTTCTTGTGGTAATGTTATTTCTTTTTCGTCTTATTCGTGTTGTTGTTGTTGTTGTTGCTGCTGTTGTTTTCAAACTGATGTTAAATTGCCATAAAAAAACTCTAACTCTTGTTAAAGTTAAGTTAACCATTTTTATGACCAACCAGCCACTCATCAGCCAGGAGAGAAATAAACCAAGGGGTCATCCAGGTTGAGGCTGAGGTTAAAAGGAGGCCCATTATATTTTCAAATTCAATAGGAAATTGTTTTTTGTATTTCTAAGCATTAGCAGGTTATGGAACTTGTAAGTGGAGAAACCACTGAAATGAATGGGGAATTTGAAGAAAAGCATTTGAATTTGAAAATTGGGATTTATTGGAATTTAAAATGTCCTGACCTATTTCTATTAGAAATTCCGATATTTCATGTTTCCAAGTAGTTTTTGATTGCTAATTGGGCTTTTTAGCGAGCTCAGGGACTTTTCCTTCCAGTTTAAAAACGGTTTTGCGATATTCACATAAGTGCTAAATGGCGCCCAACGAGGTGCTACACCTCTTTCATATCAGTTTGTCATGTATAAGATATTAAATTGCTAATGCGACTTTTAGAAATCGGTGTAACATTTCCTTTAAATTTAAAATCGATTTTACCTCATATTTACATAAGTGGCAAATGGCGCCCAACGTGGTGCTACATACATTTCATATCAGTTTGCCATTTATAAGATATCAAATTGGTAATGAGACCTTTAACAATCATTGAAACATTTCATTCCGATATAAAAACGATTTTACCTCATATTCACATAAGTGGTGAGTGGCGCCCAACGTGGGGCTACACATATTTCATATAAACTTGCCATTTATAATATATTAAATTGCTAATGAGACTTTTAGCAATCGGTGGAACATTCCCTTCATATTTAAAATCGATTTTACCTCATATTCACATAAGTGGTGAGTGGCGCACAACGTGGGGCTACACATATTTCATATAAGTTTGCCATTTCCAATATATTAAATTGCTAATGAGACTTTTAGCAATCGGTGGAACATCCCCTTATGTGGTGAGTGGCGCCCAACGTGGGGCTACACATATTTCATATAAGTTTGCCATTTATAATATATTGAATTGCTAATGAGACTTTTAGCAATCAGTGGAACATCCCCTTATGTGGTGAGTGGCGCCCAACGTGGGGCTACACATATTTCATAGCAGTTATAAGATGTAGCTTTTTATAAGATGTCTCTAAGATTAAAAGATATATTCAGACTACTTAGCAGTGTTGTAGATGTTGCATGGTCGTGTCAAAGTGAGAGAGAGAGAGAGAGAGAGAAGGGAAGGGAGATTATTAAACCCTTGAATGTAGAGTGAGTAAAAGGACAACAAATTACGCCTACGTGTCAAGTTCTTTTGGCTGTTATTATTTAAGGCTTGTCTTCCAATGGCCAGAATTTCAACAACTAAAACTTAGAATTTTAGTAGCTTGACGGAGTTAAAGGCAGGAAAACTTAGATGTCTCATCGAACCACATTCAAAGATGTTAGAGTCCCTGTATCCACTTAACTTTTTTGTTGTAATTTTTTTTTACCATTGAGCACCTACGTATCCAGGGGAACGGGATCCCCGAGTAGTGAATTTTTATACATTTTTAGGAAATTTGGTTTTAAAATCTGATTGTTTGTGGGTTGGGCTCCCCAAACCAAAATGGTTTCGAAAGGCATTTCTGGCTATGTCGGTGGCATGTAGTACCGAAAATTTTCAATATTGAATATAAAGAATTCATTTGCGTATTTTCAATCAAATTTACTTTGGGAACCTATTAATATTCCCATCTATGGCAAACTCATATTTGGGTTCAGGTACTTCCAAAATATTTTTTTCTGGCTTCATTTTTAGTCCGAAAAGTTGAAAACTCAGTGGGTTGCTTCTTGACAACCTTTTGTAGGCTACATCCACGTTTCCTTGACAAATCAAAAAAAAAAAAAACTATTTCCCCGACTCATTTTTCTTGCAAACCTTAACATATTTCCAGATTTTCTTGTCTCTGGCATATATTTTGATTTATTTTTTTTTCCTAGAAATAAAAGACTACCCAACTTCAGCCCTAGAAAAAAAGCAAATAAAGCGAAAAAGAAGAAACACAACAATAAAAATAATAATAACAACTTGACAGTGGCATATTTAAATATTGCCTGTAATTGGCATGCCCCAAAAGTTCCCCAGCCATTGACAAAAACAAAAAAAACTTGTTCATAAAAAAATAAACAACAAAAAAAAAACGCCAGAATAATGTTACACAAAAAATGATGACTGCCTTAGTTTTGTGTGTGTTTTTTTATTTCTGGTTAACTTTCGTTGACAGTCAGTCCCTTTCTAAAGATTATTGCTTTGGATCTTTTTTTTTGGGGGGGGGATATCTAAAACGTCCATAAGATTACCATATTGACATACAATAGCCAGCTTGACGTCCAGCCTTGCCGAACAATAGAAAATGTCCAGCATTTTGTGATAATAGAGCCCTTAGGATGAAAGAGGGAGCTGCAAACATTGTTGGCTGTTGGCATTTCAAGATGACAATGACAAAGAATGTCCATTATAATATTTGAAATATACAAAGCCTGAAACTGGTGGCAGGCAGGCAGTGCCTACAAAACAAAAAATATATTTTTCGGGGGGAGTTGATGGCATGGGGACAACCACTTTACAATAACAAGAGGAAAATCAGAACAAAAAAAGAAGCAACAACGACACTAGCCCCACAAACAATAGAGGCTCCCCCTAGATTGGCCACATTCACGCA